AACTTAAAGCAGCTCCCTGATCTGACAGGAAACAAGACAAAGGTATCATTTACAGATCAAAAGGTCAATCAAAAGACATTTAAAATAACTGAGGAAGACCTCACTTTAAGAATTTGAAAGTTCTCTACCTCTTTTCATTAATTTTATTTACTACTGTCTGTCATAGGAGATGAATATGATGTATGTGCCATTTGTTTGGATGAATATGAAGATGGCGACAAGCTCAGAATCCTTCCTTGTTCCCATGGTATGAATAATTACATACTGCTTTGAGTTTACACGTAATTTGTATTTAGGCTCAGTATTAGAGGAGGAGACAAAAGAGTTATTGGTACACTATAGGCCAGGTCTTTTAGTAATTAGTGGTGTCATTAAAGGATGGAGGTAGATTTATAAAAATTCACAAACTTTTCTTCTCTTGTCCATATATGATATAGATCAGAAGAACGTGAATAAACATGGCAAGAAATTAAAAATGTAATGTTCTCAACCACAATATACTATCTAAAAGATGTGTATTTTGCTTTTACAGCTTATCACTGCAAGTGTGTAGACCCCTGGCTAACTAAAACCAAAAAAACCTGTCCAGTCTGCAAGCAAAAAGTTGTTCCTTCTCAAGGCGACTCAGACTCTGACACAGACAGTAGTCAAGAAGAAAATGAAGTGTCAGAACGTACCCCTTTACTTAGACCTTTGGCATCTGTCAGCACCCAGTCATTTGGGGCCTTGTCGGAATCCCGCTCACATCAGAACATGACAGAATCTTCAGACTATGAAGAGGATGACAATGAAGATACCGACAGCAGTGATGCAGAAAATGAAATTAATGCACATAGTGTTGTAGTCCAGCTGCAGCCTAATGGTGAACGAGATTACAACATAGCAAATACTGTTTGACCTTCAGAGGGTGATTGGGTTATTTCCTAATAAATGTTTATTTAGGTATATAATTTTTTTGCTCCCTTCAGAGATTCCTGTAGAAATAACTTATTTTTTAGTATTCTATCAGATTACTGAAGGTTTTTTTGATCTGGTATTTATCTGCAGGAGTATACTTCATTTCACTGATAACTAGTAATAGACTGGTGCCGTAACTCAAGCATCAAATCAACTCTTCTTTTGGAATGAACTATAGCCAAAACATTTAAAAAAAAAAACTCCTCCGTATAGCTTGCGGTTAAGACCTAGATCACAGTATGCAAATGTTTCGTGTTTTACACACAAGGTCAATGCTGTGGCCACCTAGCATGAGCTAATAAGCAACTTCCATTTGCATAAAGTTTACCTAGAGTTGTTGAGTTGGAATATATTTGTTTTTGTATTTTCCCAAATTACCATCACTCATAGGGGTAACAATTTAGTATTTTTCCTTCTATCAGCGCCACAAAGAAACTCAATGCTGTCTTTTTTTCTTTCTATTCCCAAGTAGTCTTATCCTGACAGGAATGGTCTGTACTAGTGCAGATTTCATAGGTTTGTTTTCTCCCCCCGCCAAGGTTTTAAATACTATAGTGTTATGTATGAATTTGATTCATCAGCTAAAGTAACATGTCTCTGGACTTGACTTACTGAATTTCAGTATCCTTAAGGGTTTTGTGTTATGATCAAAAAAGAAAATGCTGTATAAAAATACCAAACTTCAGCAACTGTTAATACTCTGTTAATACAGATCATACCTCTTAACAAAGAGCATCTTATGCTAATTAGCCCTGCTAAACTATGTACAGAGGAAATTGTTCAAGTATTGGATTTGAAAATAATTGCTTATGTTTAACAGAACTAATGATGTATTTAAATAATGTATTATGAAAAGCTAAATTATATTATACATCACTGTAACTATGTAGAAAATATAGACTTATGTATAATCAAAATGCTAAGAATTTTTATATGGCCTTGTATGAAGGGAGTTTGAATGTTAATAAACACGTTTTCCACTTTAAGAAATGGCAAATATTTGTTCTACTGTAATATTACCCACATTAGCCTTATTTATATGCACAGTGCTACAAAGGCATAATAATTAAGGTAATTTAGGTCAGATAAAACCACCACCTTAGAATTCTATACAAGGTAACTGCTCACAACCAATTGGGGACCCCCCCCAAAAGTTAAAACTGCTGCCAAAATTCATTCCAATAATAGTGTACATTATGGTACATTATTGTAATTATGGTACATCCTTACAGTAGACTTCTATACAGCCTTGAAATAAATATCTGGATCAAGCTATATTGACATGAAAAATTTTTAGTCAACAAAACGTATCAGAAAATACTAAGGATACAATGTATAGGAGTCTAATGTGAAAAAAAATTAAGTTTAAAAGAAATGTAACACAACTGGGGAAATTTTACTTTCTGAACTTCTTTTTGAAAAAATAATTTAAAAAATAGTCATTTCCACATAGGAAAATAAAAGGCTGAATTCGGTATCCACCGACACCAGGTCATCTCACCCCCAACCTCCTTTTACATACACACAGGCCTGAGAAACAGATCGTCGGTTTATTATAGTAGTGAAGCAGAGCTTTGGAATTTGATGTACTTGCACAGTGCTGACCTTTCCAAACCTGTTTGGTCATTTGTACAATTTCGTTGAACCTAAGGTAGGGTATGAAGACAGAACACTGCACTCAGTATCTGCCACATGAATACAAAATAGATTTTATAATTTTTAAGGTAAATAATAAAAATATACCTAAAACCGTTTTTTAAAAGGGAAAGTTAAAAGTGACTATAACATGTGCTATTAAATGTTGTATCCCTTCAGTCCTTAAACTACAGATCTAAGACTTGGTTCCTTTAAACTTAAGTCTTGGGAGTTTTTCTGAGGAAAAATTGCCCTCCTTTTTAAAATCTCCAACTGTTACTTTTAGTGGTCAAAAAAATAAAAAATTATAAAGTGTCAATTAACAACTATCTAGGATTGTTACTAGTTTTCTTAATATTCATTGAAATTTCTCATAATTTCTTCTTGGTGGAACTATATAGCTTTTTAAATAAGACATTAAATAAAATTAAAAATAATTTCTATTAAAAAACTTTCCTGGGGCGCCTGGGTGGCGCAGTCGGTTAAGCGTCCGACTTCAGCCAGGTCACGATCTCGCGGTCCGTGAGTTCGAGCCCCGCGTCAGGCTCTGGGCTGATGGCTCAGAGCCTGGAGCCTGTTTCCGATTCTGTGTCTCCCTCTCTCTCTGCCCCTCCCCCGTTCATGCTCTGTCTCTCTCTGTCCCAAAAATAAATAAACGTTGAAAAAAAAAACAAAAACAAAAAACTTTCCTAATTTAAAACTTTTCTGATTGTATGAAAGTATAGTTACATGGAAACTTACCCCAGAGATGAATTTATCTTGGTATTTTGCCTTCAGAAATACCTATGTAAAATACATGTATACATTATACACTGTATGTGTTTACACTGTATGCAACATGTTTATTACCTCATTATTGAACATTTATCGGTGAGCATTTTCTCATGTTATTCAATGACTGTTTTATTCTCTGGACATAGAATAATTTATTCAACCCATCACTCTGAAAGTTAAATATTGCAGTTTTCCAAGTTTAGTTATTTTAAGCAATTTGGTGTGATGGGCATTCTGGTATATAAATTTGTATAGCCCCATTTTCTTAGGCTAAGTTCCTAGAAGTATAAAGATACATGTATACATTTTCGTTAAGTGTTTTTTGTAGGTAGGGGCCAATGGCTAGTTTCATCATTTACTATTTTAGTGATACAGTTGCCCTCTCTCATTTTCTACTCCCCCGCCAACACCAACACACACATCCCTTCAACCTACTTATAGGTTCATTAAGGGTTTCACAGTTTTGGTCACTGCTTTCTAAATAGTTACCCTAACAGTTCTTCACAGTGTTATTACTTTTATAGTATATTATTACTGTAAAATATCAAATCATCACAACCCAACCACCCAATTTTCTTTTGACCCATCTTTTGTTCATAACTGGGATCTTAACAGGTGAAGAAATTGAAGTTTTTTATTTTCAATTTCAAGACATGCCCAACTACCAAAGTAGCCCCAAACTCCTTATCTTCCATACTTTTATTTCCCTGTATATACTAATTCAGAACTAATGCCCAACACTATCAAAAGAATTTTTAATTATGAACAGTATATTTTAAGTAACGCAGAAATTCCCATTACCTAACCCATTTCTCAAAGGGTAGCATACAGGCCACTTAAAATCAATCAGACTGACCTGGCAATTATTTCTAAAGGGACTTCCAGAGCCCAGAATCTGCATTACAACCAGCTCCCCAGTTTTCCTTAGACCCCCCCCCAACTTTTGAGCATTCCTGCTCTGAGCTTGACAGTTCATAACTGGTATTAAACATTTGCTAAAACCTGAATACATCCCAGGGACCTTATGACCTATAAAATTAAACATGACCATTACATAGTCATAGTTAACAGGTCACTCCAAAGCCAGACACTGCAGGAATATCCCAATTATCTTACATGCTGCCTAAGGAAGGTCTTGTCTTATGGGAGTCCCAGCTGCTTGACTTCAGCAATGCCAATAGAGCTTTCAAAGCTAAATAAGTCACATGACAGTTCAACACAGAAGAATCCACAATGCAGAAACCCTTCTTGGCACTGGGCTCCTTATTGCTCACTAGATTTCACATCTAGAGACCAGCAACAAGAAAAAAAATATTTAATTTCTAGTAGGCAAGTCAATTTTCCTCTCACAAACCCAAAGATGGCTAAAAGCCTTTAAAAACAAAAAAAACAGATAAAAGCCCATTAAGAAGGAATTCCCAGGCACTCATTTTATCTATAAATACTACAGGATATGGAATGCTTAGGCCATAAGCTCAATTTTAAGACTTTATGCTTGTAACAGAGCCTGGCCTATTCTGTATATTCCAATGTGTCAAAAATCAACTGTTAAAATAAGACAACAATTTACATAAACAACAGGAGTCTAGAAGATTTGGTTGGAATAAATTTATTTCATCTGTCTGTAAACAAGGTGTTTAATAGTTATGGCATTTTTTTAAATGCATATTAAATCAGATGAGTTAGACTGTATCCCAGATGTAACAAAGTGCAGGGAAAGAAATGGACAAATCAGCAACAAGATTTGTTTTTAAATCTGTACATTATCCACAAGGCCCAAACAATAGAAGCAAATACTAGAATGTCCCTAAAGTAGTGCCATTCGAAAGAAACCTTTAATAGGTCAGTTAAAATCCATCTCACAATAGCAACAGTTCATTTTAACAATAGTATGGCACAGAACACATATGAAAAAAATTTATCACAAGACAGCCAAGTCCACAATAATGCAACTTCATATAAAAACTCAAGCTGCAAATAAAAATTGGTCCTATGAAGAACAAACTGGACACACTCCAGATGGTTATGTTGGGATACCTAATGTCCATAATGGCAGCCTTTTACAATTTTACTAAAGAATAGAGCTGGTGTGCAAAGAAAAAGGAACAAAAATCTGAGCTATTGCAATGATGGAATGTCCCTGGGGATTCGATCTGTATGGTTACTGTAAGGTCGTGGGAGGAAGTGCCTTTTGCTCTTGTTTTGCAGTTGCACTCTTCATATAGCTTGTAGACAAAAGGTCTGTCTCTACTCAAGTGCAACAACAATACTAAAAGCAAACTACTGCAGCTTTCAATAGCTCATCAACAAAAGGGATATTACTTGGTTAAATAAACCAGGCAATGCATAAAAGATGGAAGCAAACCAAATACCTATGTGCAAAGGGAGAAGGGTGGGAAAAGAGGAGTGAAGGAAAGATGCATGCACTTTTTCCTCCCAACCATGCGCTACAAAAGGAAGACTAAATGAGCTAAGTAAATGCTCAAAGTGCTGAAAAGACATTGATCAAATTAGAGATTGTACAACCGGCACCTTGCTTAATATTAACTTATTTTAGTTATCAATATCCCATTAATTGCTAAGACAAAGTGATGCCCAACTTGGCATGCCCCCTCCCCCCGAATTTCAAGGTATCATGCAAATCATTATTGTGCTGCAATTATGTTGCCAGATAAGGGTTGGTTACATACAGTGGTTAACATACAAATGATCCATTGGGTAAACAGGAATTGCGACATTAGAAAATAGGTAAAGAAAAATTAGCTACCATCTACAGTCTGGTAGCACTGTGACCATAATTGGGGTGGTGATGAAGACAGTTGCTAGGTAGATGGGGAGAGGCTGCTTACACATCAGACCTCCTCAGGTATAAAGCGAGTTCATATGCTTTCTTGTTAAGTGTGCCTCCGTGGACACCTTCCTTTCCCATGACTATAACCAATGCTGGAGTACACAGGGAAACAAAACAAAAGTGAACAGAATTATTTAAGGGGGGGGAGGGCAGAAAGAAAGACACCTTTCCCCACCAACAGAGGGATACAAAGGAGACACAGGTTCATACCCCATCACCCTGCATTGCTAATAAAATTTCCAGAATTAAGACTCAAGCTTACAGCTAGGAAAGTTTAAGAGCAATTTTACCCTAATACTTAACAGTCTGCCTAGCAGCTAGAACCCAGAGTCTCTCAAGTATTTTGCCATTGAGTATGCCTTCTTATTCAATCCGCCTCCATGGACCCCTTCTTTTCCCATTACAAAGACCAAGACTGAAAGAGAAAGAAGAAAAGTGTTTCAAAAGAAGTGTTAATCAAGAGAGTCACATAAGTTTTAGCAGACAGAACCCCGATTAATAAGTTAACATTAAGTTAGTTTTCCATGAACTGTCAGGCACTGAAGTCATCTAGGTCTCCAAAAAGGAGAACTTTCAAACTAGTAATACGCTAAAAACACTGTTAACTGCATCTTGGAAGTCCAATCAGTGCAGCTCCAGTGCTCTGTAAAAATATTTTTACACTAAGAAAAAAAACGTGTGATCATTTATATTCTATTTTAGGGCAAAAAACTTCTAGTTAGTATGGCAAATTATCAGAACGGCCCCCAAAATGTAAACTTACAAAACTCAGGTGATTATTTACAAAATTCTCCCCAACTTTAACAGGCTTCATTAAATACAAACCATTAAGTCTTACCACTGAGACTCAATGTGTCTATTACTTCCAGAGGAAAACCAAAACCAAATTTTAAATAGCATTTTCAAAGCCATTCAGAAAAGACCAAGTAAAAAAATACTTAAGGCTTGTGCTTACTGATATGCTCATTATGCTTTGCTTTTGAGTTGAAAATCCTAGAACAGGTTTACTATTTCCAACAACAGGTTCTTCTATGATGCAATTCAGAGGTCTATCGCCAAAATACATGCAGAAGTCAGATTTTATACTTGCTACCACTAGATGTCAGTAGTGCTGCAGAGTATAAAAATCTTATTCTGGTTTTATGTCACATGGTTAATACTTCTTTTTAACATATTTATCTGAAGTCAACTAATGTTTAGAAATTTGTCTACTACTTCAGTTATCTAATTTTCCTACAGAAAGATACTTTAAGTGTCAACTCACACGAAAACAAGAGTAACCTTTAGGATAATCACAAGGAGTTGGTAGAACCACTGGGGCAAATAATAGCTACTCAGAGTAGCTTCAAGTTCATTCACATGGTAGATTTGGTTTTAAAATCAGCTGTGCCAATTCTATCTGAGGCTACACAGCCCTCTTAATTTACAAAATATTTACACAGGTTAATACATTTAAATGTATTTGTAAATCAATTACATGTCATAGTAAACCTCAATTTTGGAAGTTTTTTCCAAAAACGTAGTGAGACATAGTGAAACAAGAATTTCTGCAACGTTGAAAACAGTCAGGAAGCACCAGAACTTCTGGACCAAGTGTATAAATGAAATATAATTTCCTACTTTTCAAATTTAAATCACAGACACGCTCTGTCTTTGAAAATATTCTAGTAAATAGGCAGCTTACTACAAAACCTCATTCTAATTATTTTGCTCTTCCCCAGCAATGTTTCAAATAGAAACATGAGCAAATGTTCATTTTTCCTTTTTTATGCTGAGCAGTGAATAATTAAAATGCAAGAAAAGAAAGAGATGCAAAGGTGAAAGACTAAAAAGCACTGAAGTAACCAAACAGTATGAACAGTTTAACAATCTGGATGTGCCGTAAGATTATCATTCGACATGTGAAGCAGTTTAAAAGGCAAATTTGGATTTTCAGTTTACTAAAGCTGAAACTGAAGAGTTGATGTGAATATTCTAGAGTAAAGTCGGGATCTCAGAGGCTGAGCTGTATATGCAGCTGCTGTAGAGTAGGTAAGTCTAAAAGCAAGGGAGTGCCTCCCTTCAGTGCTGGGCAGTTCACAAAAACCACCTTAATAGCCATTATGGACTAACACTTTTATTCAAAATGTTAAGGAAACTGCTTAATAAGTTGTAGCGTGCAAATTTTAACCAAAAGAGTACTGTGCTTACCTCTACCAGCTCTGCCGACAGCAACGTTGTATGTTGGCTCCCCACCTTGACTCTTTGTCCGGATGTCCATTGTGCAGTCACCATCGACGTATAGGCTATCTCTGATCACTGAGCACTTCTTTGCGCCAAGAGTCAAACCGTTGGTAAAGAAACCTTCCCGGTCTTTTCCTACAATCATATCTATTTCTACTGGCTGCCCCCGCCAATGGGAAAAAAGAAAAAAAAAAAAAAAAAGAAAAGAAAAAAAACATGAAATTGTAATCAATTCCTTTTAGGCCTCCATTTGGTGGAAAAACTTTGCCAAGATTGTACTACTACTATACTACAAGACATTCACATCTCACTAATGTAAAATCAAGTGTGTCTTTTCTAAAGAATTACTTAATCCTATAGGACTACATGTTTTGTAACAGTTAAATTTCACAGTTAACAGTGTACCAACTAAAGACCAGTTGATGCAAAGAGAATCTATGTAACTGGCAGCTGACACCAGATAAACTGTAAACTTGAGATTTATAAACTGTTTCAAAGTCAGATGGTACCTAAAATAGTTATGTAATGGTAAAAATTCACCTATAAACTTTTAACAACTGCCTGTCAATCATATTCAGTCACATTACAGTTATGCTGCATCAAACTTAAAAGTTGCTTGGAAGCCTCTTGAAAAAATGCCCAAGCGTAACAGACCTTCCTACTCTGCTTTAACTGACTTGAAATATCCCCGCTCCCC